GATCCTCGCAGGGCCCATGAAGTATCCTCGCTTCGAACTGGGACCTTGTCGGTTCTTTGCAGAGTCCTGTTGCCTCCAGTAGAAGACCAATTCACCGGGCTGATAATCCATAACAGGCCTGCTACGAGAGTTAGCAGCTCTCTTAAGCCGTTGTTGGGCATTCCATTCAGCATGGGCCTTCTCGGCTTCAACCCTCCGCTGAACAGATTGCTGAAACTCAGAGTTGGGATTCTCAATCAGGAGTTCAGGAGGAATGGCTGGGGTAGCAACATCTATCCTACCCGTCTCGTCCGGAACTTGTCCCAGCACGTGTTGCACAGGTGAGAACCCCCTGATTAAGTCCCGTTGGTTGAAGGTCCGCACGGCTGTGGCCAGGGCCTCTCCTGCTGAGACCGTTTCCTCAGAAGCACACACCTTGGTCATGACAGTTTTAAGACCATGAACAGCCTGTTCGCAAGCTCCAATCTTCCAGTGGGCCTCTCCAGGAACTAAATCCAAGTAGATTCCATGACGGTGACAGTAATCAGAAACCGCAACACTTCTGAAGTTACCTGCCGGGTCCAGTCGCATAGTCCGGGGATTGCCAAAGATCTGGGCCCATCCCTCTCGCAAGTAGGCAATGCAATCGGCTCCAGACGGCTGTTGTTTCACTCCCGTGGATAAAATCTTGGCAATTCTGAACCGTGACCCCTCATCAAGAATAACCATGAACTGATGGTGTTCGCCCGTCCTGGGATGTCGCCAGTGACCAATGTCCGCTGAAATGGTATGGAACTTTGGAGGAAGGGGCTCCAACGATGCAACGTGACGAGGAGTAATCTTCTTACGTTCTTCACAGATAGAACACTTGAACTCAGCCGCCAATTTGAGGATCTCGGGCTTAGCATTTCTCCGCTTGAGGGCTTCAAGAAGATGCTGAGTAGAACAGTGTCCCGTGGCCGCATGTAACAAGTATAACTGTCTCTTCAGTCGCTCCTCTTCTTTCTTCCTCTCTGACTCGGTGTTGCCAACAGCATAAATACCATGTGCAACCCGATGAGGCCGAGGCGGAAGGGGGAACCCCGCAACTCTCAACTTCTGGACTTCCTCTTGAGTCAAGTTGCCCAGGCCACGACTCGCATAAGCTGACACCGTCACCCGGTGCCCGGTCCAGGTTTCTGTTCCATGCCATGCTTTCGGTGGGAATTCCACTACTTGTTGTCTGGTGTCATGAATGCGGCCCCAGACCACTTCCCCGTGAGGAGTCGTTCTAGAACTCAACGGAATACCCGAATCACCCGAAAGTCCCAAGTCCTGCGCCTGAACCGTTTCCTGAACCCACAAGCCTCCCTGCTGATAGTTGCTCACTCCTATAACCAAGTTGGGCTGGTTGCTCTCGTTGTTCACATCTTTGTGCAGGGGCATGTGTTGGTTGACGTTAACCACAACAGAAGACCATCTGCGCCCGGGCTGGGCATGTTTGGCAACAAACCTGTTCAGGTACTTAACGCACTGAGGAAAGAGTTCGGTTCGCTTAGTCACTCC